ACAAACAGATAAGTGATGCCCCCATTAGAGGCATCTTTTGACAATCTGTAGATTTATTATGCACTAAGTTGTATGTTTTGATTTTGTTCACTATATTTAATTATACTTAAATAAAAAAAAAATAAAAGGTACATTTTATTGTTTTGTAATGTAACATTTTTAGTTACATTAGTTTAGTTTTCTTAGTCTCCCATGTTTCTATTTTTGTAAAAAAAATGTTTTTAGTCCTAAATAAGGTTATTAATGCTGAACTTCAATTCAGTTTCGTGGCTGGAGATATTAATCAAACGAAACAAAAGGTCACCATTAATTGACTTTACGATTAAAAACAATAATCAATTATTTGATATAGAAAACAACGTATTGAATTTAATTTAATTTTGGTTTAATTGAGAGAAAGACAAAAATGTCTTACACAGGTTTCTAAAGAATATGTTTCTGATATTTGAAGGCATTTAAGATTTTTTATATGAAAGACAAAAGTAAATTGACAGGCATCAAGTCTTAACGCTGTAGAACATTATCAGTAATTGGGTAGATTGTTGGGGGATTAAATGTAATAATAATAATTATTATTATTATTATAATAATAATTAAAATTATTTTTTCCGACTGAATAAATACCTAGATGTTAATGGTTATTACTAACCTAAAAGGCTTCATTCATTGCAGTTAAACTGATTAATTTATGAAGTACGATTGATAACTATTAAACCGAATGGTTTTAAAAAGAAATATCGTACCCATCTCAGCATAAAATTAAAAAGGTTAGTATAAATTATCATTTTTATAGCACGTTTTTTTTAGCGAGAGTCCTCTTAAAATCCTGACACAAAAACCGGACTGTTTTTTTGCAATCGCCCTTATTTCATTACCGCACTTCAAAATCTGCTCCAAACACGAGCCGTGGCTGTAACTTCGTTAGGCTTTTCATTTATCCGAGCTTTTATTATCTGCACGCGCAAACACACGCGCCCAAACGCACACACGCACACACAGAAGTCAGGACAGAGACTCACGTCAGAGCGAGGCCTGGCGGTGGATCCTCAGCTGCACCGCCGTCAGTGTCTCTGCACCTCCCCGCGGTGACGAGCTCCATCAGTCGGAGTCGGTGTCAGCAGGGCTGCGGGCCGCGGGTCCTTCTCTGTGTGGATCATGTCAGAGAGTGTCACCATAGACGGACAGACACACGCTTTTTGCCCCCTTCTTTTCCGCTCCTTTTCTGCACAAAACTGCTTTTTGTTCCCCTCCATTTTTTTTTCATTGAAGGAAGGAGGAAGGAAGGGGGCGCTCGTTTTTGATCACATGATTTGAACTCACCTGAGATAGGGCCTTAAAAAACAAAGGGCGCACTGAAGGCACGGAGGCACAATGAGATGCACTCACTCTCCCGCTTATCACAGTTAACATTCAGGCATCATGGAAAAGAGCTGATTTTTTGGGATTGGGCTGGATGATTGGGGACCAGTGTGCCGCATGTCGCGGACAGAAGGGGTCATTGTTGGGAGGAACAGTGTATATGTGTGTGTGTGTGTCCGTGTGTAAGTCCATTCTTCCTCTGCGTATTTGTGTTTGGCTAACACTGGTGTGCATGTTGTTATTCTCTGTGATGTGATTTCAAGAGTCAAACATCAACAAATAAGAGGCACAGTCCACGGACAACACACGCGTGAACGGGGGCTAAGTGAGTTAACCTTTGGGTCAGTGTGTGACCCGGCAGACCAGAGAGTCTGACTCTTCGACCTTATTCACGTATTTACAGTAACAGCAGACCATAATAATCTGTAATGAGTTTTGAATTTAAAATCGAAAAAACAAACAAACTTAGATTTGAAAAATAAAATAAACAAAACAGTACAATTTCTCTACCGTATTTCCACTTCCAGTCATTATTTGTCATGTTCATATCAGTGCCCTGTCTGTGTGTAACTATTTAGTATGTCATAAATTAAATCGAAAAACCAAACTAACACACGTCTTCGAACTCATAATACGGTGTCATTTTTTATTGTTGTCAGAAAGCTAACACAATTTAAAATATTATATTTTTACTGTTTTAATAGTTTACTGGTTTTAATTACTAGCCTCTGAGTTTTTGAAAAATGATAAACAAAATTAGACAGAACATAATAAACGGTTGTATAAGAAAAGCTACGCCGAGTTCAAGGTCAGTAGGAAGTGACGTGTAGTAACAAAATAGTCATAAAATAAGTCTGACTGAAGGAACACATTATAGGAACAGACTTAGAGAAATAATCATTTGTAACGTAAGAATGTGCATAGAAACTTTTAAAAACTCTAAGTCAAAATGTGGGGGAAAAAGAAATCACCAAAGGCTACAGCTAGGCTAAAAAGCTACAAGCTAACTCACAATTACATATTTTCTGAAAATAAATAAATAAATACATTGTTAATGGTTATTACTAACCTAAAAGGCTTCATTCATTGCAGTTAAACTGATTAATTTATGAAGTACGATTGATAACTATTAAACCGAATGGTTTTAAAAAGAAATATCGTACCCATCTCAGCATAAAATTAAAAAGGTTAGTATAAATTATCATTTTTATAGCACGTTTTTTTTAGCGAGAGTCCTCTTAAAATCTTGACACAAAAAACGGACTGTTTTTTTGCAATCGCCCTTATTTCATTACCGCACTTCAAAATCTCCTCCAAACACGAGCCGTGGCTGTAACTTCGTTAGGCTTTTCATTTATCCGAGCTTTTATTATCTGCACGCGCAAACACACGCGCCCAAACGCACACACGCACACACAGAAGTCAGGACAGAGACTCACGTCAGAGCGAGGCCTGGCGGTGGATCCTCAGCTGCACCGCCGTCAGTGTCTCTGCACCTCCCCGCGGTGACGAGCTCCATCAGTCGGAGTCGGTGTCAGCAGGGCTGCGGGCCGCGGGTCCTTCTCTGTGTGGATCATGTCAGAGAGTGTCACCATAGACGGACAGACACACGCTTTTTGCCCCCTTCTTTTCCGCTCCTTTTCTGCACAAAACTGCTTTTTGTTCCCCTCCATTTTTTTTTCATTGAAGGAAGGAGGAAGGAAGGGGGCGCTCGTTTTTGATCACATGATTTGAACTCACCTGAGATAGGGCCTTAAAAAACAAAGGGCGCACTGAAGGCACGGAGGCACAATGAGATGCACTCACTCTCCCGCTTATCACAGTTAACATTCAGGCATCATGGAAAAGAGCTGATTTTTTGGGATTGGGCTGGATGATTGGGGACCAGTGTGCCGCATGTCGCGGACAGAAGGGGTCATTGTTGGGAGGAACAGTGTATATGTGTGTGTGTGTGTGTCCGTGTGTAAGTCCATTCTTCCTCTGCGTATTTGTGTTTGGCTAACACTGGTGTGCATGTTGTTATTCTCTGTGATGTGATTTCAAGAGTCAAACATCAACAAATAAGAGGCACAGTCCACGGACAACACACGCGTGAACGGGGGCTAAGTGAGTTAACCTTTGGGTCAGTGTGTGACCCGGCAGACCAGAGAGTCTGACTCTTCGACCTTATTCACGTATTTACAGTAACAGCAGACCATAATAATCTGTAATGAGTTTTGAATTTAAAATCGAAAAAACAAACAAACTTAGATTTGAAAAATAAAATCAACAAAACAGTACAATTTCTCTACCGTATTTCCACTTCCAGTCATTATTTGTCATGTTCATATCAGTGCCCTGTGTGTGTGTAACTATTTAGTATGTCATAAATTAAATCGAAAAACCAAACTAACACACGTCTTCGAACTCATAATACGGTGTCATTTTTTATTGTTGTCAGAAAGCTAACACAATTTAAAATATTATATTTTTACTGTTTTAATAGTTTACTGGTTTTAATTACTAGCCTCTGAGTTTTTGAAAAATGATAAACAAAATTAGACAGAACATAATAAACGGTTGTATAAGAAAAGCTACGCCGAGTTCAAGGTCAGTAGGAAGTGACGTGTAGTAACAAAATAGTCGCAAAATATCCCAAGTCTGACTGAAGGAACACATTATAGGAACAGACTTAGAGAAATAATCATTTGTAACGTAAGAACGTGCATAGAAACTTTTAAAAACTGTAAGTCAAAATGTGGGGGAAAAAATCACCAGAAGCTACAAGCTAGCTCACGAAAACATATTTTTTGTATATAAATAAATAAATACATTTGAGAAAATACAATAAACGAAGAGCCAAAACTTAAGCTCAACAAAACCGTCACTTTAAACAAAACATATTAAACTGGCAGAAGATTATTTCAAATACAAGATTAATTAGAAAAAAAAATCTCAATCAACAAAATCTCCGCAAATGAATGGCCTACAGTTTCTTAGCACATTAGCCTCTCGTCAATAACCGTCAATAAACGTCCCTGAAATATGTATGATTATATATTTAAATTAACAAAAAAGGTTTCCGCTACAATATATTTACCTATTTTAAAAGTTTAATCTGTGGACAATTCATTTAAAAAAAAAAAACGTAAGTCACGCAACCGGTCTATACGTCCGGTGATTGGTCCCTGAAACGATCAGCAAGTCTGGACAGCTTTTAAACTCCAACTACATAAAAAATTCAACAAATAAATAAATAAATAAACCATGGAACTGTTTTTCTGTCCCCATATTTGAACACACGTGAGACAAACCCACACGTCACATATCGACCAATGAAATAAATAATCTACATAAAAACAAACAAACAATGCGATACAATCTGTTTGAATCTGTTAAATAACAAAGTTTTTTAATCGGAATAATTCATTTGTTACAGTACGAAGCATTTAGATGTTAGATTATAGATTTTTTTCTTCAGATTTTTAGAAAGAGAGAGAGGTAGAGAGAGGTAGAGAGAGAGGGAGAGGGTGGGGGTGTGAGGGAGACCAATCAGAGATGTGTGAATTTGCATGTGCAGTTTGTGCTGCTCCTTTAAGACTTGTGCCCTCCGCATCCTTTTATTTTTTTTTCTTCTTCCCAGCCTCACACAAGGAGCTCTTTAAGCCCGGGCACGGTCACACAGAGCAGGCATTCATACTCTGGCAGCGCAGGAGAGGGGGCTGGGGTTCGAGCGTCACTTTGGAAACTCGGGAACTCACGGATTGTCGCAACTAAACCGGAGAGAGAGAGAGAGCTCCTCTACTCAGTACTGAAGTAAGAAGCTTAGCCTTTCCAACTCTTTCCTCTCCGCATGCTGCAGCCCGTATACTCTTAATTCAGATTAGAAGAGATTATTATTATATAAATGTTAGTTAGTGACAGCGACATGTCTTTACCGTCAGAATTAGACCTAGAGATGTACTTTTTTTTCAGACTCATCGGAAAAACGTATCTCATTCTTGTTCACTGTTTCTACACAGGAAATTGGAAATTTTGATTGGAATTTAAATGTGTTGAAAGATGTGTTTAAATCAAGTTCTTTTTTTTAAAGAACGTTGACCGCGATAGCATCAAGATCTTGGCTACAGAGAAGCCTCGTCTCATTATGAATTTAAAATTCTTAATTTTTTTTAAACAAAACAAATAAAACTGTTGTTTTCCCTGACTCTTAAATTCCTATTTAAAAAAAAAGTTGCTGGTAATTTATAACCAGAATACGATAGTTTAACAATATATTTACAACTCGCAAAACTTATGTAAATAATGTGTACGAAAAAATTCATAAACATAAGCAAATGTGCAAGAAAAAACACCGAAACAAAAGCAAATGACGGCCAGTTCAGTGTCCAGTCAAGCGGTGATAACCAGGTCAAATATGTGGGGAACAAATGAGCAGAGTGTGTTTGGAACACGGAGTCGAACAATCGATCGAATCCCATTTGTGGCGCTGCATGTGTTGATCGCTGTGATGAATCACATTTATTTTGGAGTGGCGAAAGGGAATTATCACGGCTCTGTCGTGTTTTTTTATTTTTTTAATCGAATCTTTGTCGAACCAGACGCATGTTCGGCAAACACTTAGACCGTGCGCCGTGGTGCGTTTAGTGTCTTTTTTGACGCAAGTGTCTATGCGCGTTTGTGACGTGATGATGTTGGTGAATGAGTTACAGCAGGTGGTCAGTGGTGGTCAGTGACTGTCATCAGGGATGCACCGCGGACCAGATGGTGGCGCTCCGTTCGTTCAGCTTTCTAAGCTGTAAAAAACGGGGGGAAAAAATCTACTAAATTTCAAACAATGTATTGACTGTGAGGACTTGTTAAAATTATTTATAAGTTAAAAATAAGGCTTTAAAACGACCTTAAACTGAACCTACAGAGAAATTACTATAGTCTCAAGTTATAGGACAGTCTCAAGTTGTTAAAAGTTATTCAAGTAATATCGTTACGATCTCCATCTCTTACTCTAACTGTTTTGAATTTATGACAAAATTCACGAAACACATTCTCCTTAATTGACTTTACTTTAATAATATAATTACACAAAACCAGTAACATAGAAGAAATGGCGACGACTGTAAATATAATCGATATTATATTGAAATTATATCAACAAGATAATAACAAATGTAGCCGATATAGCCAAGGTTAGCCGAGAGAATAGTTAAATTTGGAGAAGAAATAGCCAAGTTAGCCCAAAGTAAAAGTATATCGCAAAACTGTTGGCTGCAAAATGCTACAAAAAGCTAATAAATATGTATAAAACTAGATGATATTGACTCACTCTTAGACCGGAAGCACCCAAAAAACTGAAACGTTCCTTTCAGTATAAGAGTGCGCGAGTGTTAAACACGTACACATTCCACCGGTTAAATTGCTTTAAGAAAACACAACGTGCGTAAACGACGGCTCGTGTCATAAAGTCAGCACACGGTGGATGACATCCTTAATTTTCCTGTAACAGGATCCTGCAGGAGGAAAAACAAACCAGTCTTTTTGGTTCAAGGAAAGTTCGCTGATTCACCTCCGCGGCGTGAAACTCTGGCGCCGGTGTTGATTTAACGGACAAAACAAGGCCGCATTCTGCAGCCGCCCATAGACCTGCTCCTGTTTAACAAACACACTGTGTCCAAATCACACACACACACGCACCACAGTTTATATTTCCAGCGCCAGACGGTGTTTATCTAAGAAGTGTGCAGCATAAATCCAAGGACTGTGCTGCTGCTGCTGCTGCTGCTGCCGCGGCCTCATATCATTACAACACCTTCTCGTTTCATCGCCTGGACGAACCGCAAAACCGTCAACGGTAGTTTTTACAAGGGCTGAGAGGAGGCAGGAGCCACAGCCCTGCAAATGAGCTGTAAGAGCAGGGGCGTAGCAGGCTTCTACAGGGGACCGGGTTTAAAATGAAAAAAAAAGTTTCATCTTCCACCACTAGTTTTTTTTTGCCGGTGCTAATAAGTTTTGCTTGAAAAAAAAAAGGGAGTGACCACTTAATGAGCAATAGTTGGAGGTCGTGTTTTTCTAAGTACTGTTGGAATGTTCACTCTTTAGCTCCGTAGTTTAAGTTGTTACGACAGCGAAACCGCCAACTAAATAGGAATGCATTAATTTATAAAAATAAATCTAAACATTTTTACAATGTTTAGAAAACACCTTTCTTGTTTTCGAAACTCTCTTAATACAACTAACAATAATACACACAATCCGGCCCATAGGTGGCAGCAGTTTGCCAGCTGGTTTGTTGAACAGAAGGTCATACTGTGTTATAGAATTTACTAAATCCATTACTGTTTAGTTTGAATTTAATTTTTTTTCATATCTCTCACCTGAAGTGATAGCATTTTAAATATGTAGGATTTGTTTGACATTTTGTTTACATTTTATAAATATCGATTTTCTAAAATGTATTTATTTATTTTAAATGTCACATGACACTGTTGAATTTAAGTACCCTGATCTATGGGGTCTGGAAGAGGAACAACGTCAGATCCAGCTCCTCAGCTCCTCAGCTCCTCAGCTCCTCCACCCTGTGTCCTAACTGTCTCTCTCTCGACCCCTCTGCTGTTGCAGGTCTTCACAGCTGGATTTGAACCTCACACTAGGAGGACAGGAGGAGAGAGGAGAAGTCGGGAGGGGAGTGAGTGTGGGTGAGTTTGGAGTAGAGGTTTGTGCATCAGCAGGTAAACTGGGGTCCAAGGTGCGCACTGAGCCGCCTATGATACCAACCACACGGATGGAAAGAACTTTAATGTGGAACCCTCACAGAGTTTTGCAACGGAGGCTGAGAGTAGAGACAGACTGGCAGTTTATATTATAAGGAACCAGCCGTAGACGTAGATTAGAGAGAGGCAGAGCGGTCCGCTGAGGGTGAAGGCTGAAGGGATTTAGAGCAGCAGGGAACCAGCAGGTTTAGATCTCAGTATTCAGGAACAGGAACATCAGCTGCGCACGTGGAGGTTTGTGTAGGACGATGTCCAGAGAGGAGCAGAGTCTGTCTGAGGTGGAGCTCAGCCCCGGCATGTCGGACGACAGCCGCTCCATGTCTCCGGGTCAGTCCTCCTCCGGGGCGACGGGCGGAGGAGACTCGCCCCTCCACGGGCATCAGCAGGTGCGGCTGGCGGCTCTGGACGACGCTTCCGCGCAGTGCTCTTCCGCCCGATCCGACGACGAGGACGAGCGTTTCCCCGCGGGGATCCGGGAAGCAGTGAGTCAGGTGCTCGACTGCTACGACTGGACCCTGGTGCCCATGCCCGTGCGTGTCAACAGCGGAGGGAAGTCCAAGCCGCACGTGAAGAGACCCATGAACGCCTTCATGGTTTGGGCGCAGGCGGCGCGCAGGAAGCTGGCGGATCAGCACCCGCACCTGCACAACGCTGAGCTGAGCAAGACCCTGGGGAAGCTGTGGAGGTGAGGAGGGTCTTTACTGTGATGACAGTCCACCTACTGTCCAATCACTGCAGTGTTCACATGCTGCCAAACTGTATGGTGTTTCTCAAGTGGTGGGCTGTGGTCCAGAATAGGTTGCATGGTTTTGATTAGTTAGGTCCTTTACCTTTAACTGCACAGTCTATTTGTACCTAACGACTTTTTGGGGATTTAAATTTTTTAAATATTCCAGAGAAAATAAGTGTCATAAGTCTAATTCGAAAAAAATCAGATTTGTGCTGTTACTGACTGTTACAGAAAAACAAATCTGGGTCACAGATCAGATTTGGGCTGGAAAAAAGTCAGATTTGTGCTGTTAAATCTGGGTCACAGATCAGATTTGGGCCCAGTTACCTGCAGTGTGGATGCAGTGTCACTGAATGAATGAGTGTGACATATGAACCTAATGATGAAAGAACTGATCTTTCTCCCTACGCTCACTAATAAAACTACAACTTGTTTATCAGCTGGATCGTGGTTTGGTCACATGCTCCTGAATGTGGTCCAGTTTCATACATCATTTAATTCCCGGTCACGTAGCAGCAGCAGCGCCCGACTCCTCGGGGCAGAGGAGGGAGATTTCAGAGCAGTTCAGTTCAGTTCGTATTCAGTCTTTAAACTCTGGAGAGAAGTTTTTCTTTAAAACTAAAAAAAAAAAACAACGATCATCTGATGAAACATCTGCATGACTTTAAAGCGCTCACAAGACTGTGATCATAAACCTTTACAGTTTCTATTTTGTTTTTTAAAAAATCCATTTTTTTCCCCTGAAGACTGAGGGCAGACGGGTTAAAGTCATTAACCGTGTGGAGATCCAAAGTTTATTAGATTAGGTTTTAACCTTGGGCTGCGGCCTGATTGGTTAATTGGCCCAGAAACATGATGAACAGCGAGGCTGTGGAAGGTCGGGAGTTTCTCATGCCGGCAGTGGTAATAAGGAGCTCAGACAGGATGCTGCATTATTTCATTATTGTCCTGCAGTCAAAAGCCCAGGGCACAAACGACCGTGTATACAGCCGTACAGACCCAGTCCAACTACAACAACAATAATCTGTATTTTTCATTTACCCGTTTCCATTCAGCCATTCCCCTCCTGTTTAATATGAATGAACACATTTCTCATGTTGTTGTTGTTGTTGTTCGTTTGCCAAGACTTCTCAATGAAAGAGACAAGCGACCCTTCATCGAGGAGGCAGAGAGGCTGAGGAAGCAACACAAGAAGGACTACCCAGACTACAAGTACCAGCCACGCCGGCGTAAGAACGGGAAGATTGGTTCTGGGTCAGGAAGTGAGGCCGACGGCAATTCCGAGGGTGAGGTCAGCCACAGCCAGCCCCGCTACAAGGGCCTTCAACTGGATATGGCCCGCAGTGAGGGAGCCGGGTCCCCTCTGGCAGATGGGCGCCACCCTCATGCTGCAGGTGGGCTGCAGGCTCCCTCTGTCTAAACTATCACTGTCACACACACACGTGATGCACTGATGTTGGTGTTGGTCTGTCAAGAATGAACTCTAATGTTTGTGTCTGCGTCCATCCAGGTCACAGTCCTCCAACACCTCCGACGACTCCTAAGACGGAGCCTCAGTCTGGAAAGGCAGGGGATGGAAAGAGAGACGGGGGAGGAAACGTGGGCTCCCGGGGGAACGCTGGACTGGAGGGAAGCTCAAGTGCCGCAGGAGCTGGGAAACCACACATTGACTTTGGTAATGTGGACATTGGTGAGATCAGCCACGAGGTGATGGCCAACATGGAGTCATTTGACGTCAATGAGTTTGACCAGTACCTCCCCCCAAACGGCCACCCAGGGGTCGGACAGAGCACTGCAGGTGGTGCGGCCGCACCATCACCAGCATCGCCCTACTCCTACGGCATCTCCTCAGCTCTGGCAGCAGCCAGTGGACACTCAGCAGCCTGGTTGTCCAAGCAGCATCAGCAGCTCCCCCCACAACACCACAGCTCCCCTCTGGGCTCAGACCCCTCCAAGGCCCACATCAAGAGTGAGAGCGGAAGCGCAGGGGGTCACTTTGCAGAAGCGGTCTCAGCAGGTTCCCACGTCACTTACGCCCCCCTGACCCTTCCTCACTACAGCTCTGCTTTCCCCTCTCTGGCCTCCAGGGCGCAGTTTGCTGAATACGTCGACCACCAGGGCTCTGGGTCGTACTACGCCCACTCCAGCCAGGCTTCAGGGCTGTATTCAGCCTTCTCCTACATGGGCCCTTCCCAGAGGCCCCTGTACACGCCCATCTCTGACCCCGCTAGTGCACCGCAGTCGCACAGCCCCACACAGTGGGATCAGCCCGTCTACACAACACTGTCGCGGCCATGACAGATAACAAGACCGGAGGGCACTGGTGCAGGTTCAGCCCCCATGTCAGACCAGAGGAGCAGCAGCCGTGACAACAACAAAGATGTCAGTATCAAAGCTCAAAGTGGTCTGAGCTGTGGGGAGTGGGCCGGCACCGGTGGAGGAGGCTGGGGAGGCAGGAGGACAGAACTCCCTCCGTCAGTTCCCAGAGGTACAAATGCTGCCACGGCCCAAGTAGGAGCTTGGAGCGTGGAGCCCCCCAGGCGTGGTGCGTTATCAGGGGGCGCTCAGGGTGGAAATCAAAGTGTGTAACTTTTTCTTGAAGTCAAGAAAAATCTCTCAACACTGAAGCATTTCAGGTTTCACTCTCAAGAAATGAGACTGGAACCTTCGACAACATCATTACGAGTGTCATAGAAACTGAAAGACCACGTGTTCGAGGTCACATTCCAATCAAAGGTGGGGTCTTCCTGTGGATGTCTTCCCTTGAAGATCCCAAGCAGAGATGATCAATGTCCTATTAGAAGAAGGTCAGAGGTCAATCATTCAAATTGATTTTTAGAAGAACAGACACTGATCTGTGGCCCATCTCCAGCACTTATGAGCAGAAATCTGCTTCCTTTTTACCAGAACAAGTCTGCAGCGAAGTCAGTGTGTCAACCAAGAGTAGTCTACCAACAGAACTGCCCCACATAGGGGTCATTTTGGGGTAATACCCCGACAACACATCACCAAGAAAACCTCATTGTTGGCCCACATTTCTCCAATGATATACGGGCCGCGTTATAGGGTCACATTCATTTATTGTGGGCCAGATGAAAGTCAAAGCAGCGTCATGTCATTTCCTTGTCTGTGTACTATCAGGTCGGTGCCAAATCCTTCGTCTGTAGCCCATGTCTACGGCGACAGCCAACACAAATACTCAAATTATTCTGTTAACGCCCAAGATTAATGTTGGATTAGTGCCGTGTCTGAACACCTGGAGAACATGTTAATTTTTGCTTTTTTTTAATTGTATATGAGGTCAGAAATATCAAAGTAATTAGCGTACCAGTTATTCAAAATACATGTAAAATACTTGTAAATTGACCAAAGGTTTGAGACCAAAACTCTACGTAGAAGAAACAGATACGGTTTCCTGTAGACGTTTCTCCCAACGATACACTTCAACTACCTTGTGTGACAGTAGTTACTGTATGAAGTTTTTATCCAGCTTTGAGTTTTACTAAATCTGACTGATGTCACTTCACGTCCTGTTGTGTATTCAGGTGACCATCACATCATGGTAAAAAACATCACCATGTTTACAACGTCAAGATTCATGTGCTTTTAATATTTGTATCAAGTGCTTTCAGCCATATTTATCTCCACTGCACAGCTGCCTCACTGCAATTTCCTACCGCACAGAAACGCCACATCCTTTATTATTAACTCCTATCCTAAATATAAACATGTTATTTTTTACATTTGTCAATGTGAGCGCTGCCAATACTGAGCATCAGTACCATCCGGTACTGTTCACTAAACAGTACTAGTGTCCGAAATTGTGCCTTGTAATCGATGCAAAACATTTCCAGAAAAGTTGGTAGACTTTAAAAAAAAAAAAATGCTATGAAACCTGAACAACTGAAGGAAACTTTTTATATTCATAGGAAAAAATACGTCCCCTTTCTCTTTTGTAGACTTTTGAATCATATAGGATTATGATTTGTTCTGCAGCTCACTGTAGTCATTTAAAAAAAAAAAATAACGACATGCTTCGATTTTAAAGTGAAGACCTGGACTGCAGGCCGGTCAGTCAGACACGTTCACTCTGTGTCAGCTCAGCCCTGGTTTTCTAATTTGAGCAGAAGAAAGATGTCACCTTCAAACTGCAAATTCATTTTCCTTTTTAATTTATTTTCCAAGATTTTACACCTGATGTCTGAACACAACTGTGTGCGATTTTCTAGGTCAAGTAAAAAGTTTTATTTCCTCTGTTTTTGTGTGAGATGTTCCATGGACATGGATTTAATCGATAGACGAGCAGCAGATTCAGTTTGTCGGTCATTTCTCCTTCAGCACAAGTTGTAATTTATCTGTATCTTTTTGCATTTAACAACTGTTTTGTTGCTTGGGATTTTCCGTTTCATATTTATGTTAGCTCTGTGTTTGTTTGCCGGCCATGTTGAAGACAACGTTCGCCTGCCGCTGCCATTTGAGTATTTAATCTCTTCTATAACCAGCACAGCGCCACAGCTTCTGAATAACAGCACGGCCTCGGGGCCGAACATGTGATGATGACTAATGACCTTTTACTATCACTTGAAATAAAGCTTTTTATCTCCTCACTGATCCAAGTTTGTGTCTTTAGCAAACATTTACAGGGTGCAACAACAAAACACGGGACAAATATTTGCTCTGTAAATAAATGAAGTATACTGTAATACTGCAGTATAACGTCAAAACAGAACCAGTATTGAAGCTGTAGAGTATATTTCTGTCACTGTCTCAGTGACTGGATCACTCACTGAACTACATCAGTAAAAGTTCACATGTAGTTCATATCACAGAGTCTCAACTAACATAATTGGACATGCATATTTGTACTTTGTTATAGACTAACACATGTGTGTGTGTGTGTGTTGCAGGTTAAGCCTGATGCCTAATTCCCTCCCTTTAATCGGCTGTGTGATACTTTGCACAGACAAAGGCGGCCATTGATAGCGGCTGAGGGGTGAGGAGGAGGGGGAGGAAAGGGTGCAGCGAGGGAGCCTCAGCCATAACTGCCTGGCCTGTAGCTACTGTTGTACAAAGGGACTCTCATGCACATGGTCCATGTAGCCCCCACCCTCTTATACACCCCCCCTTCACACACACGCACACCCAGTCACACAGCAATAAAGTGATTGGAGCTGTGACCAGACACAAACAGGCAGAAAGTTGGGAAAAAAACCCAACAAAATATATTTTTTTCTTCGGGAATGTGTGCAGTGATAAGTGTGAAGCAGGTGTCTCCACAGGAGAGGTGCATCATCATTAGCTCAGTACCAGTAAAGTACCAGTGAAGTACCACAGAGCACCGACTGGACCAGGAACATTGCTCACTGAATGGAGCGTCTGTTTCATTTTGTTTCCCTTCACACACACACACTCCGTATTGGTAAGAATCTGGTGACTACGTATTTTGGTGTAAAAGTATTTCTCCTGCTTTAGGTTTTCTTTGAGTTCTTCTTCTACTCCAGACCTCACAACATTTCCAGGTCCACCAGGTTTTACCGTGTGGTCCTGAACCACTGTGGGGCTGGTGTTCTTTGGGCTCTATGCTTCTCCTTTACCTTCCTAAACTCTGGAAATGTCTCACGGGTTATAGATCTTTAGTTGTATGTACATGCGTGTACTATGCAGTATTTTCCACAGAGTTTATCCTCCGTATTTCTATTATTATTTTTATTCTAATTCGGACGTCTGTGGCCTCACTGTCCACCACTGGGCAGAGCCTTTTGGAGTCACTACAGTCCTGGCAGTTATTTCATGCAGAGAATATCAAAGACTTGGTGTCTGGTGTCTGCTTAGCAATAAAAAAGCAGTTTGTATGAAACTGTTATTTGGAGAGAAAAAGCTGTTGATCATTAGATAGAGAGTCACATGCTCAACTGGGTTAATGGCACCACTGTGGTTGGTGCTGCTGAGTGTCACATGGGCTGTTGCCCTCCCTCTCCCCCCCGGCACTGTCTCCTCCAATCAAACGGTTCCCACTCCATGACAGTTTTTCTAGTGGTTTACACAACACTATTCAAACAGTTCCACATAAAATCATCAAATGTCATGTTGTTCTTTTGCTTCACAAAAGATTTCCAATCGACAGTAACAGACAGCAGGATCACTGTCAACCATTAACCACTGGTTTTATATTTTTATTTTAAACAATCTCTTCTGAAGAATCTTAGGTTATTCTACTTCGATATGGTAAAATTTTAGGGATTCTGGAGAAAGCCCTGGTCTTCAGGGTTCTTTAGACATTTTCTACAAAAATTACATTTAGAATTTCTAAACTTGGATTTTCTGTTACTCAATATATTTATACAGACACGAGCATAAAGGGCCTAAAACAAGGGCATCTTTAAACACGACACCAACGTTCCGTGTATATATAATCCACCCATACACATACTGTATGCAGCTGGACCGTTACCAAGGAGTGTTTTCTACATTAATGCAGTAAATTACTTTTCTTCAAGTTTTCACCAGTCGTCACTCGACAAAGGCCACTGCCGTTCTAACACTAACGGCTTTGTGCAGAAGTGTAGGAGTGCTGAGGTGGTGGGAAGAGAATGACAGCTATAAAACCTCTGCAGAATTCTCAGAGCGTCACAGCAGCCACAGACAAAGTAAAAGGCGTAGTAATCAGATCGGTTTGCAGTGATAAAACAACTCTGAGTACTACTTTTGAAGCAAATGGAATCAGTTTTCACTCATAACACAGTGTGCAAGTTTCAATTAGGAAAATATACCAGAAGTGTGAACTTGTGACAAGGTGTGTGACAAATGAGTGTAACTGGTTAAAATGTTAGTTATACAAGTGAGAAACGGTGGGTTATACAAAAGGGTTTTATTCTAGACTATAAAATAATTGATAGCAATTACATTTATGCAGCACAACAACAAATGGAATAACACAGGATTATTTTGTGAAATAAAATAGATTCACGACTTGAGTTACACTTCCCCCTTGTGGTGGTTAGTTATAATGCGTCTGCGAAAAAAACAATTTTTCACTTTTGTTTCCAAATCTTTTTGAATGTCCACTCCTTGGATGCGTCTCACTTTGTGTTCTTTTCACATCTCACCAGTCACATCCCATTTAGTGGAACAGAGTCTTGAACAGGTCAGTCGTGATGTCAGTGTTTTTGGAGTCTGTACCTCTGACTGATCTGCTACAGCAGTGTTAAAAACATCTCCACCAGCAGAGACGGGAACCTCCTTAATCGGTGATGATGAGCTCGTCACAGCCCCAGTCCTCATAACTCCCATCAGGAAGGTACCTGCGGATGATGATGGGGATTTTTCTGCTTCTGTTGGGAGAGGAGGAAGAAATATTTCAGGTTTTGATGATAATGAACTCTTAATCTGAAGTACATATTAATATTTATGAGGTATTTTTTATACTAAAAAACATGACTTACTTCAGCTCTTTCATTGCTATTTGTAAAGGATCTGTTTCTCCTTCCAGCTCCACCATGACTGGAGCACACATCCTGTCGGAAACAAAATCAACACTTTCGTCACATCAATTGTCATGCGTAGATTTTTTGTGGAGTAGAGTGAATCACTACATTAAAACTACGGACAAGTGCTGATTATGAAATCAGGCACTAACATAGCAAAATGTGATATTTTTTATATGGAAACTACCAACATCTGAAGGAGATAAACATTTTATATTTCGACAATGAAACAACAACAACAACACAAGGTACAGCTTCACAAAACTCACGCTATCTGCAGGGCACGGGTCCCCAGCACTCTGGCCCGCTCATATTTAGTCATGTACGGAGTCGTGATCCTCTTCTGGTTCGCCTGCTGCCCTTCACCCGCTGGCAGGATCTGTACGTTCTCCTGGTCTTCCTGCTCAATAAATTAAATTTTGAAATAATGAGTCACCAACTTGTTTTTATTTTGTAGCTGGGCTAACAGACGACAACTCACATCTTCAACGTTTTCTAGATCATCTAATCCCTCGTCCTCCTCGGCATCATCGAAATCTCCGTCATCGAAGCTGAAAATAACATAACGAGAGTAAAACAGAGTTCCGTATGCAGCCGATTAAACATTATCCTGCTCTCTACCCGGGCTGAGCGTCAGTTAGCAATGAGGCTAACACATGTGGCGTTCAATAAACAAGCAGTTCTTAACGACACAGGTTCAAGGTTATTGTTTACTTACTTGTCTTCGTTGTCGGACATTGTTCCTCTGAATCGTGTATTAGTCTCTCGTAAATTGTAAAATGTTTTTTAAATAAAACTTAGGCCAACTATTTTAGAAGTCAAAACGGAATTCGCGTTAAGCGCTAGTACAAAACTTCCGGTGGTTGGCGGAAATGTTCCATCCGCGGGTAGTTCCGATCGAAAAGAATGTTTCTACGTGGTTCCGTTTTGTTCCTGTATTTGGAGTAATGGACAAAAGGACACAAAACCTGTAGTTTTCTGGTGCAAACATGTAAATATTTAATGAGACATTTTATTATAAATATTGTGTTATCTTTACCTGTACCACAGAAAAAGTATTTACAGAAAGTATTATCTTACTTCGAGTTTGATACCACCTAGCCATTATAACGGGTTTATTTATTTAGTACAGTCATATATATTTTCTTTTTAAACATCAGGTTGACATGACAAATAAATCTAACAATAGTCATATATATTTTCTTTTTAAAGGACATGAGGTTGACATGACAAATAAATCTAACAAATTAATGTTTACAGCATCAGTATCTATAAATATCACCAAATAGCAGGTAATAAGGTTAAGACATCATGAAAAGACAAAATATAAAACTGAAACCCTTTATTAAAGGAAATTCTACGTTTTCTTGTCTTTATTATTGAAATGCAAACTAAAGTCTTATGTAATAGCAGATATATTAAACTCTTTTTTTAGTTTTGAAGCAGGGTTTAAGTAATGATTAAAAGTACACAACAGCCTTTCACCTAGTGAGAGCATAAGCAGGATAAAGTCTTCACTGTATGTCAGCTGAGATGTACTCTGATGCCTAGTGAGAGCATAAGCAGGATAAAGTGGTGGAAGATACATGTATTAAGTTCATGTAAGTGCATCAGCTGTTATTCTCCCTGTGATCCTCGGTGTTTTCAACTTTGTGATTGAGGATCTTGAAAATATTGGTGGGGTTCATCTTTCCTTTGGACTTCTTCATCTCTTTAAGACCTTCTTTCTGAATCTCTAAGGAGAAATGGTACAGTTACATTCAGGAAAATAAAAAAACAAAAACAAAATGTCATGGACAGAATCCAAATAAGATGGATGCTGTTGTCTTAGAGACAAGTGGCATAAAAACAAGATTATAAACTTTGATCTTCTCACCTTTGTTCTTCAAAAAGGCTTTTGAAACGCCCTCTTCTTCCTGTTCCCTGTTTGTGAAAACAACATTTAGAGTTGTCACAACACAAAGCTCTGTACGTATGACTGAAGTGTTTTTTTCTTGTGCACCTCTGCCTGTCCAGGTCTAAACTGCCAATGATGTGGTCTCTCTCTTCAATAATGGAGACCAGTTCATCCATCAGCTGCTGCTCTCGCCCTTGATCCTCGGGACTCTTGTCCTTCTCTGTGTCAAGACCATAGTATGAACATGACTTCCATCCATCAAGACAAACAAATTAAACCAATGTCAGGTGTGTGTTAGCTGGTGTAAGCAACAGTTAGTGTATCATACAGACCAGGTTTATTAAGGATACATCTGATCTCATACTCCACGTCTGCCTGTCTCTCCTCTAAATGCTGCTGCTTAGTTCTGAGAAAATGTACAAAAAAAAGAAAAATGTAAAGTTTAAATTCTCTTTCAGTTACACAGTTACATTACAGAGCTGGGGCCACAGTGAAGTCACATCTACAGCACATGAATCATTACTCACAGATAAACCAGCTCTGTGTCTCGGCGCACCAGAACTTGACGTTCGCACAGAAGAGAAAACCAATCCATCAGCATCTGTTCTTCCTCTTCAGCTGGAAGAACAACAGCAGACGATGATCAACCATGAAATGCCAACATTCATCTGTCACCTGTGAGGTAACAGGTTGACGTACCATCCTGACATTCCCTCAGCTTCTTCTCCAGCTGCACTCCTCTCTGCTGCACTTCCTCCAGACGTTCTCCTACTTCTCTCATCTGTGTCTCCAGGTTCTGTGTAGAACCACATTCATCCGTCTGCACCTGTCGGCAACATTTTCAAGTTTTTCCAGCACCTTACTGATAAGGCAAATCATACTTGTATTGATTCCCACTTGTTAATGACGTCATATTAGACGACCGCTCTACTAAGTTAACTAACTAACATACATGTCATGTTTGGGACACCAACCAACCTAAACCACATTAATTGAACCAGCTCTTGTCGTAAGAAAGTGCTCCAATGCTGCCCCCTTGTGTTCACTTTTGGGAACAACGTTAAACATACATCTATTCTGAACAGTAAAAAGCAGAACAAGAATTCACTTTTTTCCAATTAGTTGTCACGAGTTTGTCTTTTACATGTGTGGCCACTGGGTTTACCTTTCTTTTGACAAGAGGGAAGCCGTGTCCGGGAGCGGGGACTCGTTTAGATGAAAGGCTCTGTAAAGACTGGGACTTGGTCATTGACTAAAGACAGAGACAGTAATGTTAGTTTTTTATGTTGTAAAATTACAATAAATAATAATATGTAAATCCACTCAAAAGTTACGCTTTGGGAGTTCATAAAATAAGAAAAATACCATAGTCTACGTACCTTACGTTGGCTGGGTGAGACATTCGGGGTGAGACACTGGGTGCCTGCAACACCTGCACCTCCTTGAGCAGCAGATTCAGTGCCGTTTATCTCCGAACCAACAGCTGTTACCCTGGACTTTCTTTGGTGCTCAGACCTGGCTTTCATCGGCACCTTCTCTACGAACGGGTTAGAAGGAACAGCTCTGGTCCTGTACCAGGGTCCACAAGGTCTATAAAGTGATTTGAGGTGAGAAGGTGCTACAGGAGGAGCAGCAGGCGGCAGCTGGGTCCAGGGTCCAGGGTGAATGATGGTCATCCATGGATGTTTGAGTTTTACTTTAGAGCGGCCCGCAGTTTGGCCACTACTAAAAAAAAAAAAAAAAAAGTCAGGAGAAGAAAGAAAAAAAAAAAAAAAGTCAGGAGAAGAAAGAAAAAAAAAAAAAAAAGATAAGTCTGGAGAAGAATGTAGAAAAGACAAACAAACACTCGGGGTTCAGTTACCTCTGAGCTGGAGTGAGTGAAGGTCTGTGTTGATTGGAGGAAACACCTGCAGGATTAATCCCTGTTCATTTAAAATAAAAAGGAAAATCATACATGATTTTACCACTTGAAATACTGAATGACCAAAAAAAAATTTTTTTAAAAATCAAAGTTTACCTGCAGCTGCAGACGTGTCATTCTTCTGGAGCACAGGAGCAGAGATCACAGTGGGACCTGGATCAACACCATCATCTCTTTGTGTCACTTCTCCACACGCTGACAGATCTGCGGACGGCTGTTGATTCACTACCACTTCCTCTTGTATGTCACTGTTTGTCTGTATGGGTGCAGCCTCCGTGTCTGTCTGTTCATCCCGAGGTGCAGGAGAATCAGGAGGTGGAGGATTCGTAGACACACCGCTGAACTCCTCAGTTGAGTCTAAGTTTTCTCTTTCCATATCTTTGCTGTTTCTTTGCTGTTCTTCTGTCGCCTCCATCTCTGATGTTTTAAAAACCGGTTCGTCCTGCGCCATTGTTTTGTTAGTGTAATGAGGAACGCTGCTGATACAAAGGCCACTATATGATGAAAAACCTGCATGAATGTTACATTCTGGATGATTTTCAACTGATCCGATAAACTGATTTGAGTCAGAACGAGGACTTTCGATAGTTATATGATAGGTGCAGATCAGGGATTGAGCATCACCTCCCTGTTTGTATGACTCTGGTAAGAGTGTGCTGTGACACAGTTTACACCTGGAAAACAAAAATAAAACAGGTCACTGCAGAATTCTTTTCAAACACAGAAACCTGAACTGCTTAAGTCTGTCTGAAGTAGAACACACAAAAAATTAATAACGCTGCAGGTAAACAGCAAGAGTTTATCAAAAAATACATTTATTAACAATGACTGTTTACATCTGGGAAAATGCACAAAAAAAGAAAAATCAAAACAAACATCACTGAGATGTAAAAAAAAAAGGTTGTCATTGTAGCATCTAATAATGGAAATGTACTTTAAAATAAAAAAGGAGAACTGAAGCATGAATTTACCTGAAACAGCTGAGATGATAGAACTTCCCGTCAATCAAATGTCTCTGAATGAGGTGGACAGGCTTCAAACATAAATGACACACCATCCGCGTTCTCGTGTTGGAGAAGTGATCAGTTTCCAGATGAGTCACAGACTGACACAAGAAAAACAAGTGACGGCTGAGACCCTGAAACCTGCAGCCACGACAACAACGTGCACGGATGGGCGTGTGAACAGATAGAAAATGTTAAAAAAGTACCTTCAGCGGTTTGGAAGAGTCACCGGTTTTGTTTAAAACTGCTCCATGAGATGAACTTAAACCAGCAGGACCAGCTGCAGAGTGGAGAAAAACAAAGATGAAATTAGATGAAACTCATTTACCGATGTGTGTGTGTGCGTATTTGTGTGTGTACATATCCCAGAGCACCACTGCTGTCTGCTGAATGTGATGGAGGTAAACACAGAAACTTCAGAGGAACACAAACCACCAAGTGACTTCCTGTTGAAGTAGAAGTAGAGCTGCGACAGGTAGGTGACGATGCTCAGACCATCAGGCACCTTGTTGGAGACCAGCTCCTTGGGGTCCAGGAGTGCAGAGACCCCCAGCCGGGTTTCTGCAACAGTGAAGGCCTGCAGATCAGGAAGAAAAAGACAGCGCTCACTTTTTTTTTTTTTAAAGCAGACTGAGTCAATAACAATCACAACTGACTCACCAGTTTGTTATTCTGATAAATATTTTTTTTGGAGAGGGAGCTGAAATCTCTGGATTGAGGGGAGAAAAATCAAGAGACAGATTAAATGATCAATAAAACATTGTTGCAAAACAGACAAAGCAAATTTGTATTGATAATCAGTTCTAACTCACAGGTTTCCACAGACGTTAAAGCTACATGTAAATTGCGGTCGGAGATGGGGTTGAAGGCAGAGGAGATGAAAAAAAAAACATGCTCTGATTTTTACAAGAGGTAAAACCAGTTTAACAGTTTGAGGGGTGGCAGTGATTGGAAATTACATTTTGGAACTATTTAAATGAGAATTCAATGAACTCTTAGGGCCAATGATATAATTTTGATGCATTTTCTGATGAAGTCACTACAGCTTTGGCCAAAATACACTACTGTACTTACATCAAATCAGGTCGGTGTTTGTGTATGATGGCACAGAAAGCCAGTCCGTTTCTGAAGGACGTGGACATGTCCTTTATGTCCACGTTGGGATAAGTGGCGCACACGCCACGGGACCAGTCCCGTAAATCCCTGACTGATGTCATTCTCAGACCGTGACCAGAAACGTTGATGGCCTTCACGTGGTACTTCATCTGTTTCGGTGAACGCAGACAGCTCTGCAGGTTTGGCTTTGTGGAGGAAACAGGAAACACACATCTATTGTCATCCTGGCAACCTGTCGTTTTCTACACTGTTGCAGTGAGTTGAGGAAAGAGTCACAAAAACAACCCCGTTTTCCCCGAAACGGGTTTGCTCCTTTTTACAGATGAAGAGTCCATGTGAGATTTTTTTTTCCACAGTTTAAAAGTTTCCAGTCACAACTCTCCAACGGTCTTCAACGGTTCCTTTCCGACACTTCAAAAACAGCGTCTCTTCACAACATCGGTGTATCATCGACCCTCCGCGTCTGCCTTTAACCTCCGTTAAGTTGGGTTTGGCGAGGAAACTCCAACAAAACCCAGAGAAACCACTAAGCTTGTAACAAATCCCGTTACTCGCAGCAGCAATCCTCCTTGTTGTGGTGGACCACGCACTCAGTGCAATACTCAATAGCTGCCGCAAGAGGGCGGCGTAAGAACTGCTGCTACTGGTGTTTCGCACTATAATTAGGAGGTTTCTCGTTACAGTCTTGTCAAATCAAATTTATACTTTGATTCGATAGGAGTCATGTAGTGGTTCATTTAACATGGTTGTTATGATTATAACGATTATTAGTAGTGGTCGTAAAAGACCAGATCAGTTGCACAGAACAAAAAAACAATAGAAAAACTAAAAAAATAATTAAATGGTTAACAGTTAACATGTAATAAAACTATTCTAGAAGAGTGACTACATTACCTTTTATATTTTAATGTAGTAGTTGATAATATACACACAAAATAATGTGTATATTTCGAAAAAATCACATATTTTAACTGTATACAATTATAAATAACTACTCTTACTTTTAAGATGTGTTACTACGATGCACATATAGAACAAGTCCGTGAGTCACAGTGAATTAATGAATTCAAAGATATAAATATACTTTTACAACGTAAACGTTTAAAACAGTTCTTCCGGTATTATTCCGAAAACTGGCAGCTCGGCGATCAAAGATATTTTTGTAATAGCGTAGGTATTCATACATCCACCCATGCAGTCAATGTTGATTCTACATGGAAGGTACAGTATAATATGAATTGCAGAAGACTCTAGACTTGAAGGAATTGACGATTTTCATATTAAATTGTTTTATTATACTTTCTGAAAACAACACAATCAAAGCCGATAGTTCTAAGATTCAGAAAATGTAAATGATTAAGTTACATACTATGAAATAAAATGTATTATTATTATTGTTATTGAATATTTTGTGTATAATTAATCGTCTTGTTGCTTTTCTATCTTGTACAGTTCTATGCCTACACCGCCCCCTACGTGGATGTTCGTCCCTCGCGAGATCGTCGTAGCTTTTCATAAATCTCGCAGTGATGGCTGCGCCGCCCGATGCGGAGAGTTTGGAGTCTCGTATCAGTGAGTAATTTAAACTTATTTGACCGGGTCTGTGTTGCCTGGAGAGGATGTCATCCGGCATTAAATATGCGGGAGTTGTTTTAAAATTAAACGGCAGCACATTGGAGCAGTGTAGGTTTCAGGTCGGGAGACAGGGACCCTGCCGTCACGTCCAGAATGCTAACGTAGCTGCGGAGCTGATGTGGCTGCGCGGCGGCTGTCAACACAACACAGCCGAGCGCATCGTCACCGCCGCGGCTCCCGTGCCTCAGCGGAGCAGCTTGTCGCCGTAGCGTAAAGTTAAATCGGTTTGTGGCGACGCGGTGTGTACTGAGGTCGAAGCAAAAGCCGTGGCCTTGTTAGAAAGTTCGAGACCAAACAGTGACACAGTGCGACTGACATTAGTAAGCTAGCTAATGTTACACTCAGTTAGCAGCTGTTTCTGTGCACGGCGACAGTCTACCCCTCTGAATAAATAAATAAGATGAAGAAAAAAAACGTCTGCTAACTATCGCCAATACCTACAGTATTTTGTTTGTTTTAAACCCCACATATTGACGGCTTTTCGTTGCTGTCAAGAACCAAGATATAGAGTCCGAATATTGATCCTTAGATTATTTTTTTCCAAGACAATACCGTAATCATTAACTTCCTAAAATACACTGGGAACTCTAAAATAATACTAACGAATTTCTACATAAATCCTAAAATAATACTAATGAATTTCTACATAAATGCCTAGATCACAGGGATTAAAATGAACATCCACAGAGGGCTTGATCTTTGCTCTGCACTACTGTACTGTTGAATTTAGTGAGACAATTGTTTTTCCAGTAAAAAGAAATAAACATAGTAACTGGAACTCAGATGAGAGAGTTGCCTCGTATTGGAATTAAAAACGGCATATTAATGTATTTCAGTGAATGGTTCCGTCATGACAAACTTCCTGCAGCCTAAATCCATCCTTTATATATAACCACAAAGTGACTTTATAGAATAAAAATGTCATGTGACAAGTCTCGGCTCTAATATTTAATGTATGTTCACCTCATATTTCAGACAAAGCTACTAACCCTCTGAACAGAGAGACAGACTGGAGCAGCATCCATGCCTTCTGTGACCAGCTTAACAATGAACTGGAAGGGTGAGATGAAGCCTCTGTTTGTTTACATTGTATAATTGCAACTATTAAGGTGTACAACACACATGATCATCTCCTCACTGTTTATGCGTTGTGTTTATTAATTATACAGTTCAGTGTTTTTTAACCTTCGGTGCTGTTTTTTGCCGACCTTTGTTACAGGCCTCAGTTGGCTACCAGACTCCTGGCCCACAAAATCCAGTCTCCTCAGGAGTGGGAGGCCATGCAGGCTCTACTGGTAAGTTCAATACTTTTACTTCAGCACCATTATGAATCTGTCTTGACTAAAGGTAAAATTTGAAGCTGTTATACTGTTATAACTTGATTTTTCCTGTCTTTATTAACGTATAATATTTTTTGAAAATTTTAAGGTTTTGGAAACCTGTATGAAAACTTGTGGGAAAAGGTTTCACAGTGAAGTGGGAAAGTTCCGGTTTCTAAATGAACTCATCAAAGTAGTGTCTCCAAAGGTGATTTTTTTTAACACTTTCTTTTTCTGTGATTGTCAGTGACGTTTGACTGAGTGTGTAATATTAATGTTGTTGTCTTGTCACCTCTGTTCAGTACCTGGGCTCACGGTCACCAGAGCCAGTAAAAAAGAAGGTTTTGGAGTTGATCTATAGCTGGACTCTGGGGTTACCTGAGGAGATAAAGATCTCAGACGCTTACCAGATGCTGAAGAAACAAGGTGAGAGAAATTAAGAGTTTGTTAGATATCCCCCATTAAAAGTGTCAACAGTAAAGAACAGCACCCTCTACCTTCTGATTAAGTCCACAGTAACACACTTGTTGTGTATGTAAAACAGGAATTATCAAACAAGACCCAGAGCTACCACCTGACAAACTCCTGAAACTTCCTCCGTCAAGACCCAAGAACGCCATTTTTGAGGATGAGGAGAAATCAAAAGTAAGCCTATTGAAACTCTATCTAAAAAAAATGTTTGTTTTTTTTAAATTTTCCTTTATGTGAAGTGTTTGAAACTCTATCTAAAAAATTGTATTTTTTTTTTTTAAATTTTCCTTTATGTGAAGGTAAATGTTACCATATATCGTTTTACTCACTGTGGGCCAGGATTTGTTAAGTCAGTTTGCTCACATTTCACTCTGCTCTTTCAGATGCTGTCTC